CTCAAAAGCATGGGCTGAGGGCCTACCCTCAAGTGTTGAAAACGCGATATTTCCTCCAGTGATGGGTGAAATATCGGAAAACTCCTATAAGTTAATTGTTAATTCTTCTTAACAAAAGACTCCAACTATAGGTCCAACCTTAGTACACTGAGCAACGGCTTCATTACCAGGAAGTATAGGAGCCTTGTCCGGAAGGCCATATGTAGCGCGACAGGATCCACTGGAAGGCATGCAGTTACATGGACACTTTCTCAACAGATAAGATTCAAGGCAACTAAACTTACGAGTAATACTGCCACGGTACCCATTCATCGTCCAATGATGTTTTCTTATAGATAGCAAACGACTCCGGTCGAGGTGAGATGAATTTTAGTCGGACGTAAGTGATATCAAAGGTTTTACCTGGAAGAAATGTATTCAGAAGCGATGTCTAAGCGAGCTCTCTTGTTTCTTTTCATCTACTTTTCTAGCAAATGATACTTACCAAGTGTGAGTGTTAGATTCACGCTATTCGGATACTGCATATCTTCGTTCATAGTCTCAGACTGCCACCAAGTTTCATTATTAGCGTTATTAAAGTCTGTTAGATATCGCGCTGGATGTTCGAAGGCCTGAAGAAAAATTTATGTGATTATCATTTAAAGAACTGCTAGGATACGGAAAATTAACCGGATGCCTTGCATCGCAAGTATCACAGACACTTCGCGCAGCTGAGTGACCTGACTGAACACAAAATCTGGAAAGTAAATATTGAGATTGGGAAGCATGTGTAGTGATGAAAGCGGCTCACTTGGTTGGATGCTTCACACCACAAGTGTTCGTCACCTCAACTTCGAGGTTAAACGCAGCGTTAATGAAGTCAGGCACGCATCGCTGCGGTGCTAACGTTTCTCGATCATAACATGGATTACCATCTAAATAGGATAGAGTGTATCTTCAATACTGAGCTTCTTTCTTGTAGTATCGCGCCGCTTACGCAACCACGTCATCTCTACATTCTCTGCATGTTTGCGTTGCAATTTACTTCATCGTCTGATTCAGCTCGAAGCAATTCGCTAGTGAGACACTTACGTGCACAAAATATAGGAATATTTGCAGAGATATATGCAGATTGACTACAAGTTACACTTCCTAGAGCTAGTCCTAAGAGTTAGAAGTTTCCTAGAAATGATCATCACTTTAAAAAAAACACTGATAAGTTGTTTGATTGCATTTGTTGCAACAAAAACGAATGAGTAATAGCGACGAGCCGCACATTATGTCTCTCTCTCACACAAAACTAACAACTGCTCTTCTAACATTTTTTAACACTGAAAAGATTTACTGAAGATATGTACGGTTCTATTTTGAGAAAAATCATAGACTTTTGTTATACTCGACATAAAAAACAAAAACAGACTGATTTGTTGAAATTATCACAGAAGAGAATCATAAGCAAGAATGAAGTTATCTATAACTTTAGATGTTAGTTACTTAAGTAGCCCGTTAAAATCGCTTGAGTCAATATAAAACACTAGGTATTAATCAGACGAATTATCTAATAATATCAGTTTTCGAAAGCACTGATAGCTTTCAGAAAATAGGTGAAATCGTCTCCACAGCACAGTAAGTGCAGTAATGATCACACCAAAAATCTCAAAAAAAACCTATTAACAATCATGAATTTCTTTCTGAGATGTTACATCCTACAGATGGAACACCTGCCACTTTTTTGGTCTAGTACAACTACTAACAAAAACTAGTAAGTGAACCGTGTTCGGGTTACAATGCGTACTAATCTTTACGAACATTACACTTCCAAAGTATGAAAAATCAAAGATAAAAAGTTTCCAAAATAAATTACAAGGGAAAAATGATTACTATAAGAGTACTGACTCCTCCGAA